TATCAATGTGTGTTGGCGTCCTTTAGATCAGTGCCACCTTGGTAAAGTGAGTGGTAAAGTGAAGAGAGTATGCGCACGTCTTGTAAGTAGCATGTATCGATCATGTTTCGGTAGCGGATTGTGATGGGATGGTAAAATACTATGGTATTTATTGGTATCTCGTTCGATTAGGATAGAAGATTCGGTCACGTAGGAACTGTGGATTGTATTGTTCTAGGTTTCTGAGGCCTCTCTTGTTGTACAGGTATTGTGGAATGCGTGTTGCTTATAAATGATACCTATAAGTAGTGTATAGAGTAACATCTTTTCCATAAAAAATGATGATAACTTACTCGTTAATACAAAAGTCACCGAGTTCAGAGTAGGATATAATAATCTACAGACAATGAAGGACAAAGCCTGTCTAATACAGAATGACTCATTATTTGTGAATAGTAAAATGTTCATTGTATTGTCCCAGAAAGCGTTAGATTTGTCCATACCAGTTCTGTTGAATTTAGTATCAGTTGTCGACATCTGCACTTTCACATTCTCATGTGGACACACTGTCTGCGTATAAGATTTCGAATGGATATGGACTTAAATTGTCACCGTCAACATACAGTTATAGAGTGGCGTGTGCTACTGATGACCAGATTTATGAGTAATATATAGATCCAGATAAAAATATGCATATCAGGGTAGAAAATATCGAGTGGCGAAGAGATGGATTTGATGAACGATGCTTGAGGAACAACAAAAGAAGAGCAATACGGAAGACAAGGCATCACAGTACCGAAGATATATGCAAATTGTGATTCTAATATGTGTGGTGGACGTACTTTGTCTGTGTATCGAGTTGCAAATAAATAATTCCGTCACCAAATCCTGTCGTCTTCAGCCACTACAATAGTAGTTGATGAGCGTTAGAACATGAGGGTTATCCTAATCGAACAGACCAAGTTATGATGTGAGATGTCTGTGAACACTAGAGTTATGTGGGTGTATTTTCTCAGCATCATATATAACATAAGGAGTAAGGAGTAGCTTCCTCATTCACTGTGGTTAGTATTAAGCGCCCAGTGGAGTCGATTAAGACTCGAGGGTTACTTGAATGTGGGAGACTGATTTCGCGAACTTATACATTCACGTTTCACCACCACATTTCAATGGTGTAGTCAACTCTGTCAAAATACATAACAATCAAAGCCTATTACTCCGCCGTCACTTTCCCATTTCAGCTCGGTTTCTTACCATGCCACATTAGTCTGTTTGTCTCACAAATATGCCAGAGAATGGTGAACTATTATTTGTTGAATGGAGTTCCGAACACATTTGATTCAGAATCATGTGAAATGTAACTGCAGAAGATTGATTAGTTTTGAGTATTCTAACACGCTCTCGAAGATTCGACAGAATCTTTACACTGACTTCCGAGATGGAAAGCACGAAATATTAGTGTATTGTGGGAGATGCTTCATGTTTATCAAGTTGTGTGTCGTAGTTGAATTAATTTTTTCTTTAATAATAATAATTTGCTTTATTCCAGAAACAGTACTAGTGGTACAGTGTGGAATTTTCAGCACATATCTGCAATATTTGCATCTAATTTTACCAATATTTAAAATAAGTATTAAACAAACAAAAAAATAAATTTGAAGACACCAACAGTAAAAGAAAAAACAGGATAAACACAAAATAATTATAAATGCGAAAAAGTACCAAAGTCTAATGCAGTGTTTGTGGTGGTAGTGTGAGTAATCCTAAATAATACAAAATTTTTTAAGGTGGTGACTATGGCGTTCACAATCAATGATTGTCAGTTTAATATTGCCGAAAAGTATAGAAAATAAGTAATAACAACCACAAAACTAATAATTACATGATGGTTAATGACAGGACAATTTTGTAATACTCATAGTGCTAATAGAGTCGGAACCAGTGGATACACAATAGAAGGAATATAGTAAAGTACAAAAGAGGCAGCCAATGTTAATATTTTAGGTAGCTAAGTATGTTTGAAGAAGGAGTTCACTAATTACACTACTATTCATGTTGGTCGAGTGAAGGATGTAAATGATGATGAGACAGTTCCGTCCACTGAGACCTGAGTTCACTCCAATCGACCTGAATGCATCTAACATCATGGTGAACAACTTCTTAAATCCAGCCTAATCTTTCTAACATTACGAGATCACTGTTCCACATGTGGTAGAGTTAACGGATTCGTGCATTCCAATGTCTCGGAAATTCAACGCCCAAATCTACAGACAATGAAAGTGTCCACATTGAAGGCTACATGCATGAGAAGTGAGTAATTCGGAGATGGTGAAGTGTTTGGGATTGTTCGTCAGAATCTTCTGATTGCTGAAAGATAATGGAAGTGAACAGTTGACCTTCATCGTTGGATGTTTCCATGAACTCAGCGGACGTACGTCAATTGCATACTCTAGTGTATACAGGAATGACACACACACAGACAGACATATTATTCACGGTTCAAGCTGCATCAACAATGACCATATGACTTTCAAATCGATGTGAAGCAATAATCTCCAGAAACTGGGTTAGATACAAGAACATCGGGGAATTGATATTGTTTATGTAATTGACGGATGATAGTTATTCCGTTTAGTGGAAAATTTTTTCCGTTAACTCTGACAAGGAACAACGTTCCCACCTGGAATCAATAACTGAATTTCGATCGCCTAAATCAGTTGCTGCCAGCTTATGACGTGACATTCTTGATTTCCATGCTTCACAATTCCTTTAAATTGCTTACAGATTATGTGATGAGGACCAAACTATAGTTTGTTTAAAAGGTACTATGTTCTTCTTACGTAATTTGGTGCTGAATTTGCCACTGACTTTATGATTTCTCAGCTGACTGATAGTCCACCTGATGAGAAGAATTTCGTGCTCCTTTTGTCTACCTAAGGAATACTGGATAGTATCATCCCTAGTCCTAACGCACTCTGGTGATCACGACGTTGATTTATCAACTGTGAACATAATACTGAATAGAAAATAAAGGAATGTGAGAAGAGTGCATGAAGCCTAGTATTGATGAGAGATATTAGTCATCAGATAAATGGATATATCTTCAGTTCACATTTATCATTCTTCAGTCACCTAGAGGTATTTTAGGGAGATGTATGTCCCAACATTTAACGGGATTGCAGAAAATGAGACAATGTTGCCTAGGATGCAACATTGGTTAAACTCCGCGAAGAGCATTGCAGAATCCAGTCACTGATTTTTAACAGTTCCTAGTTCACAAAACAATCTACGTGGAATTCATGGTAACATTTTCGAACATTTCATTGTGAAGTATGGACGCTATTAAGTCGATGTATTTCAGTCTCCAGTTGAAACAGTGCTCAGATATTACCTAATGACTTCGTACTATGCAAATGTTTTATTCGATTCCACATATCCCCATTTTCTACATTATTTAATACTAGTTCCAAGATGTTCACAATCCTCTAGACATTTAAAACAAGCAATAAAGGTTAATAAAGCAGGATTTAATGGATTCATTAAATCCTGCTTTATTAACCTTTATTGCTTGTTTTAAATTTGTATCGGGAAATAAATGTTTCCACCTCTAGACATTATTGATCTTATCTTTCGCTGTTGGGAAGCATCGTTTCAACTACAGGTGGAACTGACGAGGATATCAAAGCAAGAATCGGAAAAGCAAGACAAGCTTTCATTACTCTCAAGTCTATATGGAGGTCAACAGCACTCAGCATCAAAATGATAATAAGATCCGGATTTTCAACTCCAATGTGAAGTCAGTGCTACTATACGGATCAGAGACTTGCACTGCGCGTCATAAAGAGCATCTCAAACAAACTACAGACCTTCATTGACAGTTGTCTTCGCTCAATACTCGAGATCAGATGGCCAGCCAGAAAAGATCAGCAACAGAGATCTCTGGCAATGAGCGAACCAACCAGGAACCGATTGTGAAACAAGTAGGCAGGAAGAAATGGAGATGGATTGGCCATACTCTCAGGAAACCATCAAGTGACATCACTAGACAAGCCATTGCTCGAGTGGAACCCGAAAGGGAAGCGGCGAGTTGGTCGTCAGTGCAAGGGTGACTTGGAGGAGGTCATGTGAAGAGGAGACGAAAACGTGTGGGTAGACATGGAGCCAGATGAAGACTCTAGCAGAGAACCGAACGCAATGGATACGCACGGCTGAAGCCGTATGTTCCTCTAGGAATTAAAGGAAACAATAATAATATAATTTTGGTGTTGTTCTTCCAATTGTTTTGTTGCACAAGGGTCTTCCACATTCTACACCATGCTTTTAATCCTACTGACTGGTACAGTCATCCTTTTCACAGTAGAAAAGGCGAAATATTCTGCAGTACTTTTGATGAATAAATTTGTTTGCAGTTATTCGCCTAGTTCCATGTTTTCATTAACAACTGATCTCTTGAAAGCTTCCTACTGTCTACATTTTAAAACCAGATTTTTCAAACAATTATTCATTATGCAT